AGATGATTGGCCCCTATTGAGTTTTTTGTCAAGATGTAGCTTAGACATAGCTTTAGAACCTCAGATAGGCCAGTGAGGCCACATAAATCCATAACTCGAGATAAAAAGTCAGGCGTTTGCCCTTTTGCCCATTGACTAGTATGGTGACGTGAATTAGGGCAGTTTGGCCTATATTGGATAATCACATTTATGCGTGCGCGCGCAGCTCATCCAATGAACGAAACGCCACTTCCCGCTGAAATCACCGGGTATTGATCTTTCCCTTGGTCAAGAATTGTAATGTGACACGTAAATTACGTCTTAGCTGGCAGCCAATTAAAACCAGCGTTACAATCTGTGTATCCATTGAATAAACGAACGTGTATGTTCGACTTACCGACTGATTGAAATAAATCCAAAACCCTATTTTTCTGATAATATATGTCACATTCATCATTTATATTGGCATTTTTATTTGCGAGACGCATTTGGTTGTATGGAAGACATAAAAACTGTCCCGGATTTGATATACATCGAGTTTTCATTGGGTAAAATGAAAAATGGCTGATAGTGAAATAACTGAAAATGGGGCAACGGTAAACAACGTACTTGGTGCCATCCAGCTGGCTGTTTGAAAAGATTTTTCCCGTTTATGCTATATCTGGAAAGTGCGGATGTTCAATATAGTTCAATCAAGTTGAATTAGTAATACTGTGATTGTTCAGTTTCAGTTTTAAATGAATCTGATCCCCCTGTCCCTTAGTGTTATGAAAAATATGTTGTCTACTTTTTTTTATTATTTTATCAAAAACGTGAATATATATTAAATCTTCAATCGACGTTAATTATGTAACTTAGGGAAACAAATTCTCATAAAAATAATCGACACCCTTAGGCGACAGGGGAAAAGATGACCAAAGGAAATGTGAAAAAACCGACATTTTCCAACCGATCATTGTTGGTTGGTAGATTTACTGCGAAAAAACTCGAGCACTGCTCGAAAATCTTTGAACGTAATTAGAAAGGTAAATGTATTCCAAATCGAATTATCTCCACGAAATTAAACATGAAATCCCTTAAGTATTCCTCAGATTAATTTTTACGTTTTGAACGTAAAGCAGATACAAATAAGGACAAGGCAGAAATATCAAAGGGAGTAACATCATGTATACCTTATGTGAAAAATGTATCAGAGCAAATCACAAGAATAATGAAGCAAAAAGATATCAAAGTAGCTTTTAAACCTATGCAAACACTTTAAAATGTTCTCGTTCACCCTAAAGATAAGGCCAAACAGGATCGCAAAGCAAACTTGGTATATCAAGTTCCATGCAACAATTGTAATAAAAGTTACATTGCAGAAACAAGTAGACCGCTTGGCACTCGCATCAAGGAACACAAAACAGAAGCAGATAAGAAAAAGAGTCACCACACTAGAATAAAAAATATTATTTTAATAAATCAGCGATTATAGATCATATTCTCCAAGAAAACCACGACATTGATTGGAACAATTAGAAAAATACTATTCTAGTAGTTATAGCACAGAAAGGAACAGAAACAATAGGTTGATAAGAGAAGCCATTCACATTAGAAAACATAAAAACTTCAATGGAGACATGGGCAACTTCAATCTAGATCGCCATAGCAATTAATATTTTTGACGTTGTTAAGGTTTAATGATGTAGATTTACTAGTCTTGCTTAAAAGACCCTGTACACCCCCCCCCCCTTATCCTTCTCTCTATTCTCTGTATATTGTTAGTTAAAGAGAGGAGTGAAGGTGACGGGGTGGGGGGTGGATACAGTCTTTGAGCAAGACTAGAGAGAAGGATGAAGGGGGGGGGGGGAGTACAGGGTCTCTTAAGCAAGACTAGTAAATCTACTATTACATGTATATTGCCAGGTAAAGAGAGTGAAGGTGACGGGGGGGGGGGGGGTGGATACAATCTTTGAGCAAGACTATAGATTTACCTGTATTCATTTCAACTGTTTTCAATTTAAATAAAGTGATCATGGATGCAGTTTGCATTCGAAACGTCTTAAACAAAAAATTGTCATAAAGTCTGACACTTAACACCAATAAATGGGTCATTCACACCTTTTCAAAGCCTTAATTCAGCATGTTGCCGCGTATGTGTAAAACTTTCCATTACTTATACATTTAGAGTGGATATTCATCAATTCTGAAATTTCCTGAAGACTTTCAACCATCAATTCGTCTTTCGTTCATAAATCCTATTTTCGTTCAACATTACACTTGGGGCTTTTTCAATGTCTTTTAATGGATATATAATAATTATGTTCCTTATTCTCTACAGTAACTACCATTTTCAGAATATAAGGGAGGGAGTGTCTTTAGTGTTTCCCCTTGTATTTATCACTTTTTAGACCTTCAATAAAATTAAAAAAACTATGTTCCTATACAAAATTGTATTATTTATTTTTATAATATTACAAGTCACATGTATGTACTTTGGTAATAATTTAATTACAAATTTTAGAAAACATAACAAATACATTAATTTCATAAAAGCAAATGTGAAATCTCATTTTTATTGATCAAGTATCCAATCATAGACTTTATAATATTAAAGAATGCTGAATTATAATTCACTGGCCACATTACAATCTGGGCTATTAGCAATACACAGCATCCATTTTAATGATCTTTGACCAGTTTTCAAAGTATTCTACAGTTCTGTGGCAAAATTAGGAAAAATATCATAAGACAATTATATTAAGTTCGTCATGGACATATAATTTACATATAACGAAGAAATCACATTTGGACACCTTATACTGAATTCATTGACATATAAGTAAATGTTCAGTGTACATGCATCACTTCCATTAAGCTGATAATGTTAATTGGGGCTTTAACTCTCAAATAATCAAATCAATACTTAACATAAGATATGAGGTCATATCTTGATCTTACATACTCACATTTACTCCTAAAAATTAAATAACATTATTAATACTCAAGCTCTGGCTCAAGCTCTCAACTTATCATTTCAAGTATTATCAGCTTAACAGTAATGACATATATATCTTAATGTTATCCCCTATTTACATATTTTACATTAAGACATTTGGTCCTTACAGTTTCATGCTTATCTCTCTCCATAGAGTCTGATACACATCCCCATGTTATCCCACAAAGTAGATGCATTGCATTCATTTTTACATTAGCCATGTTTTCTTGGGGCAATGCACAAGACTGTTCTAGCATTTCAATACAATTTAGAATATACAACTATTTTCATATTCTGCAATTCCTCCCTTTTCAACTATTTGATATGATGCTATTTTCAATAGATTTCACAATGTTATTAAAGTTGTATACTTCAGAATATCAAAGTTTTAAGGCGTTCCTCATTCATATCATATGACATTAAAATGTTTTCATAACATGACATTGCAAAATGTATTGAAAAATCTGTTCACTTTTCAGGGTTTCCTTTTCAAATTGAAATACTTTTTTTTATTGAAGAGATGGAAAAACTCCTGATAACCTGATATGGATAAATGCCTATTGTCCAGTTGTCATACTACAATATAATAAAACATTGTCATACTTAATATCACACAAACACATATACCCCTCTAAAGTTATATTTACAGATTATACTTTTATACATTAAATTCCGTAGAAAGTATTGATTCTTTACTCAGCAATTTTCCATTCAAGTATGATGCTCATGCTGATTCCAAGTTCTCTATAAAATATGTATAAACTGCAAATTGGTCAAGCATTTCTATACTATTGTTCAATATGGACTTTATATTCGTATTTCACTCACTTGTCTGCCACTTATATTCAATTTATGTCCACTGCATCTTGTTTTTCATATATGAATGCTATCAAATTCTGCTTCAGGGGAAAATTGTCATGATTTCTTACCAAATAGGCTAAATAACAAACTTCTGGCATTTTACAAGTTGTGAAAATTGAGATTCATTTCAGGGAAAATTGGTAATATAGTACTTAATATATATATATTTTATTTAAAACCCCTTCCATGCATAATCAGTGGTCACGCACATCACCTCTTTATACTTATCACCACATATAAACTGCCCTCATACAAACAAGTCACAGTTTTAAATATATAACATTCAATATTTACAATGGTTTAGAATGTAATACACAGAATAAATATACAAACAATATGAGAAATTACAATCTCTACCTAATATTCAGTCACGATTCAGTATTCTTATATAAACCCTCATTGTAACCTTCCATTTCAAAAATGAAATGAAATACCACCACTCTACCACATAATAACCACAAAGTCTTGTAAAATGGGCAAGATTAAGTAAAAGAAGTAAACTACAGTAGTTGTAGTCATTTTGACTGGGGTTTGATTTTGAGGAACTACTTTCACATTTAGATTGTTAAAATATGACAAAATTCATTCAGATATTGCTTCATATGATGTTCTCTAAAAATGTAATAGTTGAGTATATGAGCTTAACATTTTCTTGTTTTGTTTTTCTACAAGTAAAGATAAAAACATTATGTTATTATCATATTTCTTTTTTGCAAGAAGATTTTTGAAGCACCAAAGTCTGACTTTCAATATTTGTTATAATGGAGGAGAGACAATTGATAAGATTTTTACTACCTACATGTATTTTGTACATGTATGGTATACATATTTCTGATGTTATCTCCATTACAATATCTATTGGAACTATTTACTTAACATTGCTTATGAAAAATATACACCTATTCAAAGTTGTATTAAAACCTGGATAAACTTCAACTTTATTTATTGTGATGAAATCATTTCTACATTTTCTAAAATCAGAAGTAAGGAGTTTTAAACGGTGAAGGAATATCCAAATATTTAACACGTCTTTCATTGTTGTTGTTGTTGTGTCATCCCTAATCTCCCCCTATGCAACACAGCAGAGCTAAATTTGTCAGTATCAAACATACAGATGCAATTAACATCAGCTTCATATGTGTTTACAGTTGCATGATGTATTGTAACACCTGTATGATGTATTGTAACATCTGTATGATGTATTGTAGCACCTGTATGATGATGATGTATAAAGTACTGTAACATCTACTTGATGTATTGTGACACCTTTATGATGTATTACAACATCTGTATGATGCAATGTAACACCTGATTGATGTGTTGTAACACCTGTATGATGCATTGTAACATCTGCTTGAGACATTTTCTTAGAAAAGCCATCCTGATCCTCATTGATCTATCCAGTGCTGAATTAACTCTTCATGGGATAGGGCAGTCTAGGTTTAACTCTTTATTGGCAAGAGCATTTAAGATTTTAACTTTTCCCAGCACAGTTAAGATTTAACTCTTCACAAGCCATTGAAGATTCAACTTTTCATTGACCAGTGAAGACTCGCTATTGACTAGAAGGGCAGATTTAACTCTTCAAAAGCCAGTGCAGATTTTCATTGAACACTGAATAGTTTACTATTCAAAAGCTGATGGAGACTTCACTCTTATAGAGTTAAGATGTTCTTGATGCTTCTCTGTGGGAGGTAGAACACATTGTTGACAATATATTAAATACACACATATTATGTACACATAGATTCTCTGTTGGTGCTATATACTGTAGATATAATATATATAAAGCCTGTTCACTCAGCCTGTACATGACCTGCAACCACACTTCCGTATTATTGGCATGGAGTGAATATAATTTGTACCATCTCCACAAAATAGTCTCACTTTGCGAGTTTTGATCTTTTTAGGTTTGCAACAATATTTGCCACATGTGCCTTCACATTTTCGATGTTTCACTTTTGACCTGGATTTGCAACCAGTCTTTGGGTCGATATATATTTCTCTGTATTCTATACCTCGACAAGTGGGCTCTGGAAATGGTAACATATGTAAGATATTATATAAGTAGGGGTGTAATTTCTTTATTGACTTTATTCAGTGCAGCTCAATAGATGTGTAAAAATTCTAGATGTGTAAAAATTTGTCAGATAGTGGATAGGAGACAAAATGCTGAGAAATCAGAATGCCTAGCCACATGACCCAAAAAGTACATGTAGATACATGTTCAATAAAGAAGAGACAAGGAAGATATCCTTACCTATCTCGCAGAAAGTCCCAGTGTATCCCTTCCTACAATCACATCTGTAAGTAGAACCTGGACTAGGGTCTTTCAATGGGCGACATTTGCCAAATTCACATTTATTTTTTTCGCAAGGTTCTGGTTTCTCCATGACGGGGCATCCTGGCATTAAACGATGGTGGGTGTCAAGGGGAGAGAAGTCCATCAGTTTACCATTTATTATGACTTGTTTGAAGCAACCTGGAATAGAAATTTGGGACATATTACTGAAATGGAGATCTGCTAAATGTCTGTATGGTTGGGCTTTCTTTACATCAGGTAAGAATGGAGTGTTTGTATTTCTATACAATTTAGAATGTGCGCATAATGCCTGTTAACTTATTTTCAGTCATACATATGCTAATGCTTTTCTGCTTTATTTCCACATTTCAAGAAGTCCCCCATGACCATTTAATCCACATTAAGACCAATACCTTGAGAGATAAATAAACAATCACCAAAATTATGAAAAAACATATTTTGTCAATAAGAGTCATATTACATCAATCCCTCTGTCAGTCTGTAGATGCCATATAAAAGCACGACTGAAAAGTGAGATACAAGTAATCAAGTTATTCAAAAACTTGGAAGACCTACCATTGAAGCTGCTGTCATCTCTGATGTGCCATTTACTGAATGCATTAGACTTGATAGCTGTTGGAAGACCCCCTAGAAACATCATCTGCTCAGACACTAAATAATCCTTTTTGCCCTCATTGAGTATTGTTCTTGGTTGATGCCCATCAATTCGCAGTGTAAAGTTCTGCTTGATCATCAAAAGTTCCAAAGTATGGAATTTTCCATTGTTAACTTTCTCGAAACTGAACATTGTGGATACTGGGTAATTTCCGACATCATAGCTGATTCGGACACGTCCATGGAATAGTTCAACTGCCACATGTGATTCAGCTCCCCAGTACATGATGATGCCATTTTCTTTCATTGTGGCCAACCTGATAGTGACGTTTGCATCTGGGACATTGTCGAGGGCAGGCAGACGAGCGTATGAGTCAATATGTTGGAAACTGATGCTTATTAGTTTTTCACATTTCTTGCCTTCAAAACCTGAAAATATTTAAATAAGTAAAACTTGATTCTATAGACAGGTTTTACAATTCATGTACCATACTCTCATTAAATATTTTTTTATCTTGTGTTTTTTTCAAAATGTTTCATCATACATTCAATGAAATAGATTTGAATAGATAAAACATTTTATAGCTATTGCATGAACTTTCTAAAAGCCATCTTATTGTACTGTTACAAACCTGGGGTACATTTGCAGGCATATTCGTTGGAATGGTGAGGGACATAGCATTTTCCTCCATTCTTACAGTCATGGAACTCGCAAGCCTGAGTCGTATCATACTGTGTGTCACTGGATGGTTCTGGTTCTATCTCACAGTAATGACCAGAGAAACCTACAGCAAAATGATCCATTGATATACATGTTAACAGAATAACCCACAATTGTGTGATACTACATGCATTCCACTTATTCCATGCATAAACAAATAGATAAATCAGAATGTAACCTACCTCTGGGACATTTACATATGTACATATTCCTCTTGTCCACACACGTGGCACCATTTTGGCACAAATTGTTGATACAGTCATTTGCACTGATAGAACAGTTGCGTCCTGTGATACCTTCTGGGCATACACACCTAGATTATAAAAATTAAAAAGAATGTAGTCAATATTCCATGTTTATATTCAAGTTTATTGTGTCTTAAAATATTACAGTATTAAAGGTTATGTAAGTTACTGATCTTGCTTCCTTCTAGCTCATGTTATGGCTATCTACCTGGTTGAACATGATTGCACTGATTGATGGGACAAGTTTTACACATTTCCCATTTCAAAACAAGTGGAGTTAACACTTACATATAATCAGTCTCTAAGTCCACGCACTCAGCCTCATTCTGGCATGGGTTAAAGTCACTGCAGAACTTGATTTTCTTTTCGCAAAATGCACCTGAAAATGGAAAATGAGTTTGACAAAATCTGAATTTGAACTTTACTGGTCAGTATCAAGCAAAGTTAACAGCCATCACCTTTGCATCAAAGATGGCAGACGAAAAGTGTCGATTTCAATATTTTTAGTTTTCATCGACTTAAACTTAGTAACTTTATAGTTGACGTAATGCTTTGATATTTGAACTAAATCCTACTTATATGACATGAAAACTCTGGAGTATGATCATTTATTCATATAACATGTGTGGGCGCCACAGTTCAACGATATTTTCTACCACATAAGGAAAGGAAATTACTCAGATACAAGTAGATAGTTACCAGTTACACCACCAGGTGGCTTGTTTGGGTCAGATAGCATGGCAGGAATAGTAGAAAGTTCCCTTTAACTTAAATATTTATATGTTTTAGTGGTTCAATTTTCATATCAATTTTCATTTATCTAAAAGTTAAGCAAATTAAAATAAGTCCAGTAAAAGAAAATGTTATCTGTCAAATACAAGAAAAGACATTTCACTTTTTGTGATTTTATAACATGGGGTCTATGGGGAATCCCCCGAACTAGAAATCACATTTTCAAGTACAATTAAATTTTCAAAGTTGATAAACAATTTTTTGAAACCATATTTCTAGATGTACTATTAAATGTAGATTCCAAATATGACATCACTTTGACTGAATTTTGAATATTTAATGATGTAAATTAAGATATTTTCTACTCGCATCTGGTCTATTGGGATTTGGGTTTCACAGATGATATGCGATGACTAACATGACCGCTACTGTACCTTACATTTCCAGTTACCTTCCCTTAAGCGGTGGAAGATATGGTTGAACTGTGGCGTCCACGTATGATATATGAACAAATGATCATACTCCATAGTTCACATGTCATATAAGTGGGATTTAGTTCAAATATTAAAGTATTATGTCAACTATAAAGTAGTTTAATTCGATAAAAACTAAAAATATCGAAATCGACACTTCCCGTCCACCATCTTTGATGCGAAGGTGACAGCCATCTCTTGATGGAGATCTAGATGGGTCTAATTCATATATACCATTTCATGCAATCATATTGAACAAGATTCTAAGTGTTTTACCAATTAAAAATGAATGTTGATAGTCAGAGAATATTTAGGTTTAAAGTTTTTTATTATCATTTAAACAAAACAAATTACAAACACAGCAAGGGCCGAAGCAATGCATTATTGGCCCTGGTCAGAGAATATTGTTTAATCGTTTTTATGCCTTACCTGCAAAGCCTTTCCTACATTTACAGCTGTATGTCTCTACTTGGTCAATGCATGTTGCATTGTTGAGGCACATGTGACTTTTGCAGTCATCTATATTCACCTCACACCTGTAGCCTTCAAATCCTGCCAGACACTGGCATCTACAAAAAACAAGTCCGTCAAAAACTGCATTAAGAATCAAGAAATCTACAACATACTTTTAAAACTGCCTTAACAAGGGAAAACCGAAACAGCGATGAAAGAAATATGAGCGCTTCTTGCAAAAAACAAGTACATGTACAATCTTAACTTTTATTTGTCCAAATATTGACATTAATATTTGATGAATCGTGGGCTTCAGGTGCCCAATTGGATGAATGAAAGAGGCACATTAGCAATATTGGAGATATTCATGATCAGTTGTTTGGAAAATCTGAACAAGAATGATTATACTTACGAAAATCTGCCATTCTCAATGATGTTGCACTTGCCACCATTTTCACACGGATTCCCATAACAAGCATCAATCTCATTTTGGCAATTATTGCCATGGTAGCCATCGATACATTGGCAGGTATAGTTGTTGTAACTATGCAACATACATTTGCCGCCATTCTTGCATGGTTTTGTGTAGCAAATGTCACATTTTGATTGGATCGCAGGATCAGGATTTTCTGAATAAAAAGGTTAACAAAGTGACATACTTTGTGTATATATGTCTCTACATGTAATTATTATAAAAAAACAGTATAATGAACAAAAATCATAAGTAACCAAGTAAGAAGTAAAAATGATAAGCTATTTAACATTTGCATCAATTTAGAGAGTGAAGTTCATGTGTGTTTATTCATTCCTTACTTATCCCACTCTTCATTCAGAACAGTGAAAAGCATACCTTTGCAGAGGAATTTATCAGGCAAAGTTGTAAGAATCAGTTGATGTTTCATCTCATCTGGTCCTGCACATTTGGCGATTCCTGGTTCAATGTAATCCTTCTTCATGCGAACCCAGTCAGAGAGCCACTTTAGATTACAGTCACAATATAAGGGATTGTCACCTAGAGCACTGGAATATAACAAGGACATTCAATTATGACAGGGCCTGGAAGGGATAGAAATTTCTGGTCGCTGCAATCAAATTACTAGATTTAAATGTCACAGCTATGGTAGCTTCAATGTCTGCTAAATTATTGTATTTGTACCTTCAATGACTTGATTATTGACCCATAATTTAACCTTTCAACTTACATATGCGTCAGAGAGGTGAGATCATCATAAGACCCATAAGGCATTGTGGAAATGTCATTCTCATGCAGGGATAACAGTCTCAATTTCTTAAGGCCAGCAAAACTTGTCTTTGTGATACATTGAAGCTTGTTGTAGCTCAGGATTCTGAAAATGAATACTAAAATAAAATCACAGTAAAATGTATACAAACGTACTCAAGAAAGTTAAATGGGTTACTGTATTTCTAATTAATTTGGTGACTGTTTTAATTTGATGATTCCACCAAATTGTCCGCCAAATAAGGTAGCCGCCAAATTCAACAATTTACATTTCAATTGTAAATTTGTATGGTATATACACTTCAATATTGCAAGTTCGCCTAATTAAGTAATCGTCAAATGTTCATAACAGCAAATCCGCCAAAATAAGTAGCACCAAATTAAGTAGAAGTACAGTATGTTATGCCCAAAATGTTTTCACAAAAATTGCAAATGTTTTATGCAAATATACGTAAGGCCATAAGAAGTAGATTCTTTGTTTTGCGTCCCCTTGCTTGCAAGATTTTGAGTAAATCAGAAAAAACAAACACATCCAAATACACCCTATAGCAATCACAAGGGTCTGAAAGTACCACCGCATTTCGTTCAATCAGAATCAGATTTTGCCAGGACGCAAAACAAAGAATCTACTACTTATGGCCTAGACTTGTGAAATACATGAAAACTGTTACATACTTGTATATTCAAATTATTAAAACAATATAAATAAATATTCATATAAATATTTTATTAGCATCGATTCAAGTTCATGACATTAAGGGCTTGCAAATGAGACTGTCAGTTTTAAATTCAAATTGAAAGCAATTCAGGACTACCTGATGTTATATATGGTACTTACAAAGTACTCAAGGATGAGAGATTAGCGAATGCATAATCCGGCAGAGACATCAAAGAATTGTGGGAAAGATCACTGGAAATATGACATCATTTCTTAATTACAAAACATTCTACAACATGTCAGTCAATGTTCATTGAAATTTGGCCTTCAACCTTCTAAAATTTTTTGTTTCATGGATGTGCTCCATGATTAAGCTGAATACCAATATAAAAAACATCTAATGAGGAGTGGAAGGTCTACTTTCAATGAAACTGAAATGAAATGTATTTTGAAGATAAAATATACAAGGTGTCAAAAAAAGTAATGCAATATTACCATTATTATTAAGACATTGATGCATTTGGAACAATGTTGACACCTTGTAGATATTTGTCATATAGTATGTTTCAATGAGCACCATGACAGTAAATGGACAAAATAACAACACTAAAACTGAAGAAAAAGCAAAATCTTCCACTTTATATAACTCAGGTGAGTTCACAAGCAAAGTTGAAATTGAATATGTAAACAATAAAAATAAATCTAAATTCTAAATAAGTCTCAATTTGAGATAAAAATGAGATTGTAACAAAATAAGAAAATGACCTTGTAGCACATTAAACATATTCTTTGTTGCAAAGTAACAAAATCTCTGCTAATTTAAAATATCATATTTAACCCTCTGACAACCAGTGCTTAGTAAAAGCAAGGTCTCATTCATTCCAAAATTACAAATATTTTTTGATTCTACTCCCTAACTTTTTCCTAGATCCTTGCTATATCTACTGTAGGACCAAAAGATGTATTGCACAATATGATTTTGAGGTGTATGTTATATCTACTTTCATAGCAATCAGTTGTCAAAGGATTAAACTGTCCAAAAATATGTCAAGGGAAAGTCAATTTTCTTTTTAACATTTAAATAAAGTGCATTATTTTCTAGTTTACAGCATTAACTAGAATATTGAGACACTTCTCATTAATTCTATCCATTTATACTGTATTATCAAAAAGAAATGACAATCATTTGACATATTTTTCAGGAAAAAGCTGTGCTTACATCCAGGTGAGTTTAGTTAAGCGTGCCAAATATGGTGGGATTTCCTTAATCTGATTCACATCTAGGTACCTATATAGCCAAGAATCAACAGTTATACATATAGAACAACAGATAAAGCCACAAAATATTTACAGTGTGGAACACAGGTTTAAAAAAGACTGACGAAGATTGATCTTATTCTAGAGGCCATGTCTCTAAGACAGTAAGGCCTCTATAGCTTTATTGTGTCTCATCTAGGGTTAAAAATATTTATCACAGGTTCATAATCGATCAGCCCAAAAACATGTTACACAATATAGGCCTAAAATAATATCAACCTAGTAGAATAGAACTTTAAACGAAAGTAAATATGATCATAACTGAAATATACACATGTAATTTCAAAGAGTGATTCATTAGCCCTTGTGTGTGATTCATTGATATATTTTACGTGATTCATTGATATATTTTATGCGATTCATTGATATGTTAAAAAAGTGTTTGATTTTTTTGTACTTTGTGATATTTAGAACAAAAAGCATGACTGATAATAATCTACCTACAAAAACATGAAATAAATTGATAATAATAATGAACCATATACCGAAAGTCAATAAAAGTGGTTCTACTATTATTACTTATATTATTACTACTGAACTGTAATAACGCTAATATATAGAAGCTGCTATATGAATTTCTATAAATGACTTGTTCAATGTACAGCTGCATAGATCTACAGCTGTGCATGTCAACAGCTATGGAGCTAGCTGTTATGAAAAGACCCATTACCAAAAATGCAAATTTGTGTCATGTTTTTAGAAGGGTGCAAGCTGACTGACTACAGCAGCTTAGTTTCATTTTGAGTTAATTTTATAAAAATCTTCCTACATTAAGACTTACAGTTCTGTGGTATCTAGGGGAATATCAGCGGGAATTTCTGCTAGGCTTTGTCGGCTGCAACGTACAACAGTACCAGTGCATTGGCACTTAGCAGGGCAGTATGCTCGGGGATCACAGCTTTTTTCATATTCACCTAAAACACAAACAATAGTGATATATTCGTAACTCAGTTGGTTCAAACATACAAAAGAACCAAACTTAAGGGACTTTAGTGAATCTTTAGGAACATAATTCACTCAGAATCATTTCAAAGAGAATAAAATCCACATTTTAAATGTGTTATTATAGAATGATTTGAAAAGAATTACATTATATCTATACTATGAATGAGAACATACCAAGCCCAGCCTTTGTGCAGCATAGAGGCGCCCCTGAGTGGCAGGCCACAGAATTTTCACCTGAGACAACACACAATTATACATGAATCATGTCAGACATATTATTCACATGAACATTTGTACACATATTATATGAATTTACATGAACACGTATTAATTACATGTACAAATACAGTTCTCAATGTAAGACACCAGTAATTGGATATTTGGATACATTGATGGTAAAGAAAGCTGTATTACACATTTATACACGTATTACACATTTATACATGTATTGCACATTTATTACAGTGTTATTCGTAAAAATTTTTAAACATTATACATGCTCTCTGTTATCGATGTAATATAAATAACAAAAGTAACACACATAAACAAATAATGGTCACATGTTATATTCAAATAGCAAATATTATAAATAAATTCTTTCTGAAACAATAATTATGTAGATCAAAATTATAGTTGTCTCGACTACTAAAACTAATAATGATAAAACTCACCAAGTTTTTCACATTTGAAGTCTGTTGGTTTGAGTTCCTGGATAGCCATGTCTTTGAGTAAAGATGGCACTGCACAGCGAGGGTTTCCTGTCACAATGTTACGTTTCTGTAGCCAATTAGAGAGCCATCCCAAATTACAATTACAGTTAAATGGATTTGAGAGGAGGTTTCTGAAACAAAGACATGTCTCTTTTATAGTGTATACTATATATCCATGATAATATAACATGACAAACATAACCATGACAATATAACATGACATCACAAACAGTACCATGATAATATAACATGACAAACAGAACAATGATAATATAACATGACACCACAAACAGAACGATGATAATATAATATGACATCAAAAACAGAATGATGATAATATAACATGACATCACTTAAACAGAACCATGAAAATATAACATGACATCACAAACAGTACCATGATAATATAACATGACATTAGACATGACAACAGAACCATGTTCTGTCGATGTTAAATCATCATAGAAATAGGAATTAAGTTTTTAATGTGTATAAAATTTCAAAGTTAAAAAGAAAAGGCTGTGATATCATCTTCACTTTTAGATTTAATAATGGTTCAACTTGAGAAGATTGGTTGTATCATGAACATAGATATACATGTACTTACAATGTAGAAAGATATTGAAGTCTATCGAAGGATCCTGGCTGTATACAACGTATCTGGTTATCATATAAAGACCTGGAAATAAACATACAGTTTATTGATAGTAATGACAGGTTATTTTCCATAAATCTAAATAATACCTATATCATACAGTTGATAATTTGAAAGAACTTATTAACATTTAGGTTCATAAGGGATTTCCGGGCGAAATCAAATATTAAAAAGGAATGCTAAATGCATATGCATAATCAATTTTATTACAACAATTTACAACATTTCTGAGTCACCCTGTACTTACAATAATCTCATGGAATTGAGATCTGTGAATGTAGTGTTGGTCACACAGCTGATCTTGTTACTTCTCAGCATCCTGAAATAATCAAATCAGTATTCAGCACAACGAAGAAATGTAAATGATGTCAACAGTAACTAGATTTGTGAAATTGAACAAGTTCAATTTAAGACTCCAGATTTATTTTACCTAGATAGATCAGTAAAGAGCTGAGTAATTAACTGAGTAATTAGCTGAGTAAGTACCTTAGTAGTAGTTGAGTAAGTAGCTGAGTAAGTAACTGGGTAAAAAGCTGAGTAGGTAGCTGAGTAAGTAGCTGAGTAAGTACCTGAGTTAGTAGCTGAGTAAGTAGCTAAGTAAGTAATAACTAATTAAGCGATTGAGTAAGTAGTCAAATAAGTAGCTGAGTAGGTAGGGAGGTAAAGTAGGGTATGTAGGAATTTTTGAAAGTTTATTTGATCAATCTGCATCGTGAATACTGGCAAGTGCGAATTTCAAACTTCAAAATGGCTTAGAATCTTAACCGGGGGTCGGATTGCAATTTTAATTTCAGATCCGGATTCCTTAGGAAATTCTACCCCTAATTCATAACTCATACGTTAAATTTGGAGAACTTTTTATTTTGACATACATTTCGATCACCATATCTAAAAAGTGGGTCAAAAAACTTCTTGACGGCAACAAGTTAACATTATGAGCACACTCTTTGCTACATGTATACAAAATTTCGAAGAATATCATTGAAGTGTAGTGTCCAAATTGCAACAATAAGAAAAAAACTAAGAATTTGACCTAGATTTTGAACTAGGTATTTTGGTGTCCAAATTTTGAAGGAAAGTAGCTTTTGAGGTCCCCTTCTTTTATGGGCTTTCATTATGTTTAGCTGTACTCATTCTATATCTCGTATTTTTACACTTCAAAAAATTATTCGGTCCCATTGATTTAACATGGGGCACCAAATTTAGCGATTTTTGAGATTTCAAAATGCCATAACTTCAGAACAAGAAGTCGGATCGAAATTTGGTTTGCAGATTTGGATTCCTGAGAAAATCTTACCTTTAATTCATAACTCACACATTAAATTTGGATAGTTTTTATTTTGACCTACTTTTCGGACACCATATCTCAAAAGTGGGTCAAAATACTTTTTGACGGCAAAAGGCTAACACTATGAGCATACTCTTTGCTACCTGTATACAAAATTTTAAAGCAAATCATTTGAATATAGTGTCACAATCGCAAAAATAAGGAAAAACTATGAATTTGACCTAGATTTTAACCTAGGGATTTTGGTGTCCAAATTTTGAAGCTAAGTAGCCTTCGAGGTCCCCTTCTTTAATAGGCTTTCATTATATTAAGCTGCACTCAGTTTATATCTCGTATTTTACACTACAAAAAAATCTTTTTTCCCATTGACATAACATGGGGCAGCAAATTTAGCGATTTTTGAGCTTTCAAAACGCCATAACTTCCGAACAGGAGGTCGAATCAAAATTTGGTTTGCAGATTCAGATTCCTGATAAAATTCTACCCCTAATTCATAACTCATACGTTAAATTTGGAGAACCTTTTAGTTTGACCTACTTTTCGGACACCATATCTCAAAAGTTGGTCAAAATACTTTCTGACGGCAAAAGGCTAACACTATTAGCACACTCTTGGCTACATGTATACAAATTTTCGAAGAATATAATTAATCTGTAGTGTCAGAATCGCAAAAATAAGGAAAAACTTTGAATTTGACCTAGATTTTGACCTAGGCATTTTGGTGTCCAAATTTTTATGAAAAGAAGGTCTTGTGGTCCCTTTCTTTTATGGGCTTCCATTATGTTTAGCTGTGCTTAGTCTATATCTCGTATTTTACACTTCAAAAAAATATTTTTTCCCATTGAATTAACATGGGGCACCAAATTTAGCGATTTTTGAATTTTCAAAACGCCATAACTTCTGAACCAGAAGTCAGATCGAAATTTGGTTTTCAGATTCGGAATCCTGAGAAAATTTCCTATAAGATTGATATCCCGGACATTGGATTCGGTGAAATTATTTTTGGACCTCGTTTTCGGACACTGATATCTCGAAATCGGTTTGAGATACCAAAAAACTAAATCGACCCTAGGTTTTCTACTTTTTTATGAGGAACACAATGAAAAAAACCAGGATCAAAAATATTGAAGGACGACCGAGATAATGGGAAAAAGTGACAAAGTACTGGATTTGACCTAGTTCTTGACCTTTGACCTAGATAAAAATTTGACCTAATTTCCCATCATCCCAGATACATTCCCTAGTTAATCATGTAAGCAGCTTAAAGTAAGCTCTTCTAGTTGGTGAGAAATCTGGGAAGGAGGAAGAAGAAAAAGAATAATAATAAAGAAAACTGGCAAAAGCAATAGACTCCAGATTTTCATCTGGAGTCTAATAAAAGTACAGTTTAAATTAAGCACAAAATACAAAGTGTCTAAGAAAAATTTACAAATGCTCTAATTTATAATTGTTTTTCCAAAATGTGTGATGTAGTATACTTACAAAGTTCTTAGACTTTTCAATCCTTTAAACATTCCACCATTCAGAAAATGCAGTTTATTTTCTGTTAATTGCAGGTCACTAAGTACATCTGCACCTTCAAATGCCCCATCAGCTATCGAATCAATTTTATTGTTTCGAAAATCTCTGAAATCACAAGGATATGATCAATCGCATGAGTTATTAATTAAGATTAGCATTAGTTTGCAACCTTTCTCATTACTCATTGAAAATATATGACACTAACTGGTGGGAAAATATTCATATTATTTTACATAAACCTTTGATCACAAAGTCCTACTTACACTTTCTGAAGATGTGGAACTCTCTTGAATATGCCACCATTTGGTACAGTTGTTATGAAGTTATCCATCAGCTTCCTTAAATAATGAACATTGTATAAAGTTGACGAGTAACAAATTTAAACAACAGAAAATGGCATGAAAATCAGGCATTCCATTTAAACAGGTAAATAAAAATGAGTTGAACTGGCTTCAATATATAATGCCTCCTCTGTCAACAAGCAGCAATATTGTACCCTCGAGTAGAGACAGTTTTAGGGACAGAAAGTCCAAAATGGCCACCACCTTAACATTTACATAGAATGCACCACAACTCAATACCAAAAACAAAACAACCTTAAAATCTCAATCCATTAAACAGTTTAGCTTGAAATATAGACAAAACTTGACAGACAAGATTTTAGGATGAAAAATCTAAAATGGCCAACTTAACATACTTAGACCCAGAATGCCTAAAAAATGTTCATACCAAGAAATATCCCATAAGATTTCAGATAAATCCGTCAAAGAGTTTGGTTTGAAATGTGGGAGACAAGACTTAACTTAAAAGACGGAAAATCCAAATGGCCACCTTAACATTTACCCAGAAATCTTAATCAGTTCTAGATTACATATAAAGAATTTTAAATCAACAATTTTGTCAAAAGTTTGGCTGGCAATGCATACAGAATTAAGTGGGATTACGACTGGCCTGCATTCTAATCACGATATAGCACCCAAGGGTGTGATAAGACTGGACTTGAATTGACTAAGAGTGCGATGACCATGTATGAGTTGACATGGGTGAATGCACCAGAGGTTGAGCTGGCCTAGTTTATGTCAACAGTCGACTAGGGTTAAAGTGACCTATTACACAAGTTAAATCATGGACTTTGACAAAGAACAACAACAACTCACAAGTCTGTTGTGTAGGAAGGAAGATCCTCAGGTATCTTGGTCAGCCTCCTTCCAGAACAATCCACAGTAGTACCCTCACATATGCACATCTTTGGACAGTCTCTGTCGACCATACACTCTCCAGCATGTTTTGTCCTATGCTCTTCACCACCTTAATTAATTTATGAAAAATAATTTTTCATAATTTCTGTTTTCAAATGTGGTGCTTCATGAATAATGGGAACACCATCAAGATGAGATGGAAAGTGTTCACATTTGAAGGTCATGTTAACTTGGATGTCATTTGCAAGACAATATATTTCATCCAATTAAAAGTGTTCACATTGGGAACCCATGTAATGAGTGCAGTTTGGTGTCAGGTTGTGTGGACAATGTGCTGAAAATTGATGTAAAGGAAAGAGTCATTGCGTTGGGTTATAAGGAGAGGTGTTCAAGTCTCAAAAAGATCAAGACTGGAGATGTGTGAAGCTGCAATTAAATATAAAGGCATTCTATGCCCTTACATTACAGTGCAGATCTAGGGTGTGTGCCAAGTATTATTTTCTGGCTGCAGGCCTAGGATTCTCATTACACACATATTTCAGGATACAAGTCTATGAATAAGTGTTTGACAGTGGAAGTATAAATGCAGTCCATGTATAATGCAATCAGACACACACAAAAAACGATTAGGAGTTTCATTCAGTGGGCAACATGTGCTATTGCTTTTGAGTATTTTCCAAATGTTTTCATGTTAAATTCAATTTCCAATATTTTTGCCTGTACTTTTTTTTAAATTTTGTTGTCAGAAATTCAAATGAAACCCCTGTCTGTTTATGCACAGCCTCCGGAGGATGCAACTAAAAGAACCAATTATATTTGGCCAAGTTATGTCTTCCTAAGGCTGTACACCTGACTGCATAAGTAGCAAACATGCAGTAATTATAATTTAGTTTAATAGTGACATAGTAATAGTACTAATTTCACACAATTTGAATTATACAATTTGTATAATTTTAAAATCAACTATTAAGTAGAATTTAGTAATGTGATCTGATTGGAAAGAAAGAAAATAGCACAATGCATGATAAATCCACACAGTGGTCTGTGTCACCAAGGCAAATTCAAACACCAGCACCATATTTGGTATCATTCCAAAATTAGTATTATCCAAAATTAGTGAAATAAAACTCCTGAGCATTAAATGTAAAAACACAGTATTAATAAGAAATGAATTAAACTGATTTTAACTAACATTGCTCAAGAAATTAATCATAATTCACAAATATCGAGGTTAGTTAATAAATTGTGCAAACTTAATAAAAACAATAAATATATGTGCAATTACAGAAAATTAACATCATTGGAAGTGGAGGCAGGCACATTCAATAATACAAAATAATAGAAAGTACAACTTAAAAAATAAAAATAGTTAATGGATATATGCAATCTGATTGGTTTATCATAATATGAATATCTGTGATCCAATCAGATTGGATTATTATAAGAGATAGCTGTCTTGCTACAGATGTCTATAAATTATGTTATCAACCAATCAATTACAGGTTGATGCAAAACAAAACTTTTTATAAAGGAATAAACTGACAAAGGTGAGAAAGAAGTGCACATAGTAACACTATTGGTGGAGGGATAGGTGGTGGAGGGATAAGGGGTGGAGGTAGAGCACATTTGAATTGCAAACTATTTGATAATATTGGTGCAAAATTGTAGAAATTAAAACAAGCAAGCATTTTGATATCAGTTCAAAAAAATTTAAACTATCAAAAAGCACAAAATCAGAAAAACAATTGATCATAGTGACCACAAATTAACTTGAGTAAGCGCATAAAAAGCAAACAGAAAAACCAAAGCAAATCACAGCAAAACAAATAATTATGGGAAATAAATAACAAAATTTTAAACTTGGTGTTTTTAATGAATTTGTCTAAAATAGTTGGTGTTTTTACCACGGTGGGGTATACACCACGCAAGGCTATTTACCCTTACACTTGAACTTCGAATCACGAATGTGACCAATTTTTTTGCGTTGCATTCGTCGTGGGGTGTCACATCTGGCCCCACTAGTTTCGATCGGATGTGTATGGAGGTATTCAGATAGCCATCTCAAGTTACAGTCACAGATAAATGGGTTTCTTGCCAAATGCCTGAAAATAAGAGTCAGAATCAACATGATATGTAACTTATTATTTGAACCTGGTTGTGCTCTATAATATTCTTTTCTCAAATGTGCTCCATTATTTTGATCATGCTTTCATATTATTATGTAAGCATGGTGATTTATATCAACTCAGAAGAAAGTTTCTTAGCTGCTCTGTGTTCTGAATTTCTGTATATTCTGGCAATATCTTTCACCTCATTAGTTTTAAACTAAGTAATCTGGAGAGTTAATAAATGGTGTTCTACTTTGTCTACAATATATGAATGAGTTGAAAGAAAGAAATTTATTATTTTTGTATCCCTTATATATTTCACCTGGCCACCCTGGCCTAATGTCTCATTGAGGCTGAGGGGTTTATCCCCAAAGGTTAAATGCAGTACCTTTAATTGCTTATGAAGAGGAGAATTTTGACATACCTTAAGGCCAGTCCTTTATGATCAAATTTGTTATTTTTGACTTTTTTCAGATGTGTAAAGTATAAAATAAATACCAAGTGTTTATTCACGGACATACAACCCACTGTTATTAGAAAATATGAAAACCAAAAAATGTGATATTTAATTAATGAATCTCTCTCACCCTTTGTAGTTTACTTTAGATCCTAAATAAAGACTCACATATCAAAGCTAATATCCAGAATTTGTTTTACACTTTTGTTTGAAGGAGTGGGCTGTTTGTGTAAACAAATGCCAATACTTGAGGATTTTACACATTTAATATTGATTTAAAAAGAATTAAGGCCAAAATCAAATAATCCCAAAAAGCTTTGAATTTATTTATGCTTGATAATCTACTGATCCCTTTTGAACTGAAAGGTTTAACAATATTCATCAAGGTAACAACCAGTGAGGGTTGGTCATGGTCATGTTTTCAAAAGCTCTAGAAGGAAAAGTAAAGGAATTTGCAAGGAATGACATTAACATGCATATGAACTCCACTCTAAATTGTATAGAAATGGGTGAAAATCAGATACTTCATTCACATTTTTGAGTGAAATTAATAAGTATAAGTGAAGAATTTTAATAATGACAAGATTAAAAGGTGAATTGAACATACTTACATCAAAATCAAAGGTTCATTTAGAAATCAGATTGCTCAAAAAGACTGAAACACACCTGGTTGTGAATTTATTAAGATATGTCACAAATTCCCTCCTTGTTTAAATAAAAATTCTATCACACTGAGTTTGTCCTGTCTAGATAAACTTAATGTATATGGGATGGAAATGTTGGTTGTAAGAAGAAAAGACACAAGTGAGAATTTCCATATGTGTATTCTAAACTTCACAAATCTAAAGAAGGAGTAGAACTAGAAATTACATGGATAATTAAATGTTTGATTGACGCAATATTTATTTTTCCATCACCTTCTTAAACATGGAAAACAACTGGAATTATGACATTTCCAAACCTTGTATCCGGCTGAGCACTTAGTTCAGAGAAAAAAGTTTCTCTTAATGTTATGTTTGAGTTAGCCCTGTCAAAAATTAAAGCCCCAAATAATCAATTATCTATCCCTGATTTTGAAAAACATGTACCTGATAATCCTTTTTTTATATTTAAAATATTTCTGAACATCGATGATTTCTCCTATTTTTCTTGGATATTTCCATGTGTTATGTATAGTTGCATATTTGAATGATTGCATATTCTATACTTACAGGGTTTGTATATTTTTCAGAGGAGTGAATGAGCCATTTGCGAGGGACTGAATCTTGTTGTCATAAAGGGACCTGAAAAAGAGAAATAGATTATCATTTATATTGTGGTGAAAGTTGTTGAAAAGTTCATGTAAACTCAAAACGTCAAGACACTGACTAGTGTTTCTCTGGCAATTCTTTACAGATTTAAGTATCTGGCAATATATGTTTATCAATGTGACCAAAAATTTAAAGTCCCCATATTATAAGGTCCTTCAGTCTATAAAACCCTCCTCCACTTACAGAAGATTCAAGTGTGAAAGGTCCTCAAACGTGTCAGTCCTAACGCAAGATATTTTGTTGGCATTTAACAGTCTGCAAAAAATAAACATGTATTAGTATTGAGCAATACAAGGCCATCTAGGATAGGTATTTTATTAAATGGACATTCTATTGTATTGGAACTTAATTTGAACTCAGAACCAACAGACTTGAAATTACTTTTCATTTAACTAACACAATTTAAAGTCTTTACTTATTCTATTTTACATCTCCAATACCCAAATTCACCAGAATTAACTTACAAAAGTTGTAGGGATGTCATTCCTTTAAATATTCCTGGGGGTAAATCTGTAATCTTGTTACCATACAGTACTCTGAAAACAAAACAAAACTTTACACATAACATTTTAAGAGAAACTTTCCTTTATAAGTACACTAATGATCACAAGAAATCCTTCATAAGTAACTTTAACTGGGTAACTTTTGAAGCAACAAAAAGTGTTCACTTCAGATAGGTGTTCACTACCATCAATAGAGTATCTTGAAATGGTGTTAAAAGGTGTTCAATAGAGAGAAGTGTTTACTTGGACAGTTTGTACTGTACATAACATCTGCATTCGTTTTTTTGTATATGGATCCCTTTCACATCTTCATACACAGGCTAGAAACTGAAGGTAGGGCAGAGTCTAGTCAGATGTGATTTAAAACTACATAAGCTTAAACTTACAAAGAGTTTTAACATAAGCTTAGACTTACAGAGAGTTTAGAGACTTCAGGCCAACAAAGGCATCTGGGGCAAGGAATGATATCATATTGTTGCTTAGATCTCTGAAAGAAATAACAAATAACAGTTTTTAACACATGTTTTACTACATGAAATTTTACAACTGATTATGGTTTTGTAGTCCAGTGATTTTAAGTTCTAAACATGTAAGTTATTACCATGACCATGTTGTTGTTTATTAAGAAAACTTGGAAAGTGAAAATAGTTTATTCAGGTAAATGTTTATTGAAATCAAAATATAATGTACTTACATTCTCCTCAATCGTTTGTATTCCATGAAAGCTTTGGATGATACCCGCGTTATCTGGTTCTGCTCTAAACGTCTAAAAATCAGAGTCAAAGTTCACTAGGGTGTCATCTTGAAATGCAGATTAACAGTAAATGTTACAGCAATGATAGAAAATCATTAGAAAAATCAACACTTTATTTACATTACACAGAGAATCTTAAATTTAACAATGTCAAAAAATAATTTATTGCTATGGCGATATAACTAATAAATGGAATTAAAATTACCAGACTATGAACTTATTTAATGTTATTTCATGATTCCAAATTTATTTCAAACAAAAAATGAATAATCATTTTATTTTTTGATGGTACTCACAATTCCGTAGTTAGCTCTGGTATATTATCTGGGATATCTGTAAGACCCTTGTCACGACAATCAACAATGCTCTCAGAGCAGACACACTTAGCGGGACAGATGGGCTCAGCATAACAATCATCTTGGTCTGGCACCTCTACATCTGTATAATAATTAAACTTAAGTTAACATCTTTAGAATTTATAAAGAGTTTTTGGATTTTTATCTTATTTGGTGTTATTTTCTTTAGTTTTTAGTAAAACTTGACTTAAATTGGCAAATTAGATTTCGGTTATCTATAGCTTTTCTTGTACTGATCTTCCTCAAAATGTTGTTTTCCTAGTGTACATGATATCTTCTCATTAAATCTTGACCTTATTTTCAAATCTTAAATGTTCCTAAATAATGCATTTCCTCTTGAATTCATTATCTCTTGTGATGAAATGTTCTTCTTCATATCAAAATCAAAACAGTTCCCGGATTAGTTTGGACTTTCATCCAAGAAGTGTTATCTAATTGACTTGGGCCTTATGTTCAGTGTAATCTCCAACAATTGACCTAACTTAGGACTGACCTTCAGGGCAATAAAGAAAATGTATTAATTCTGTGACTAAATTATGGCATAAAATGCATCACAAATGAAGAACAGCACTTATCTGAGATTCAACAAGTACCATAAGTGGGAATTTTGGCTAGAGCAAGAGCTTTGCTAGCTGTTTTCAACATCATGGGATGTACTTCATGCATCCATCTACATAGCTGTACTTACCATTGCATTTAAAATCATTATCTCTAAGTTCAGCAACATTTGCACTTTTCAAGTGATGTGGGACGCCACACTTAGTGAACAGTCCAAGTTTTGGATGACTTCTCAGCCATTTTGCAAGCCAGGATAGATGGCAGTCACAGTTCAATGCATTGTCTGCAAGTCTCCTACAATAAGATATGATACAAGGGTTTCAAAAGCAGCAGGAAATAGGCTATTTTCCTGAGCTCCTGTTGCATGTTTATTGTTTAGAGAAATTTTCCAGTTTCCATTTTGAAATGATAATTTTCATTGGCTTTGCATTAAGGAGGATTGGCTCCCAGAGTGCAACATCGGTATTTTTGCCATATATTGGCATGTCGTGATTCCAAAATTTGAATTCAAAATATGTTCACTTCAACATTTGAATTGTAGGTTATTTAATCAAACCAAACAAGTAGATATAGAAAGATGAAGATCTTGGCTTTAAATAAGTGCAAAATCTGTCACGGCCCGGGGAAGCAGGTACCATTTTGTATAAGGAACGTTTTGAAAGGTGGTCACTTATTTTTGAAATTTTCCAATTTAGTGACTCATCTCCTGAATTATTCTATTTTTTGCCTATGAGATCCTACTACAAAACGATCTGGCCAACCTCTACAGTTTATGGATGAGGTTTCGACCCTGGGACCCAATTAACTTTGACTTTGCATGTTGTTATATTTCTGACGCCTGTTGTCAGAAAGTCTCATAGTCATATAGACAAGTTAGACAAGTTACGAGATTGCATATGTATTTTTCGACACATTTTTGACCTCAATTATCACCCATAGAAATTGTGAAACCATTTCCAAAGGACAAATACTCATTGACTTACGTGACACGAAGCTTGTGCATACTGTCAAACATATCACTGGCTAATGTTGTAATGTTGTTCTTGTTAAATGTACTGAAATTACACAAATACATGATATATTTTAGGATTTACCTGCATGATAAAACTCCTTTTCAAACTTCCTGCAAACTAAATTGCGCATGCGCAGAATTAGCCATGTGGAAAAGGTAAACAAACCTGGGCATTGTATGCTCTCCATTATTTGCAAATATTTAACAATAAAATAATGTTGGGTCGTATTAATCACTGTACTATTTTGATATAAGCTATTAAAGTATATGAATATGTAATAATCAACCCAATTGCTAAGACTGTATTGTCACAATTGCTATGTGATCTTTGAAGAAAAAGCTTGAAACTCAAATTCTGAAACAGGAGGGAGTGAATTATTTTGTCATCTATTTTGTAATAAATATGATCATATATAATTCAAACTTATAATTCAAACTTACATTATTTCCATATCCTTTAGTCCTCTTATAGCTGCTCCAGCTATGCATGAGATCTGATTGTTGTCAACTTGTCTGAAAGAGAAAGTGAAAAGTAGAGCTATAGGGACTTGTCATTCTTGATATAACTACACTGTACTGTACCAAGGAGGATTGGCTCCCAGAATGCAACACCGATTTTCTGCAAAACAATCACCTAGCGATAGCTTTGTTGGAGAGTATCGGGTCATTCTCCATGCAGTCGTACAAATTATACAGACACGAATAGCAAATGACGCATGCGTGGAGATTAAAGAATATCGAGTTGGAACCCTGGCTTCCAATCCTCCTTGGTACTGTACAATGTATTTTTGGATTGATGGATATGTACCATTACATGACTTCTTCCATCAGTTTGTAGATACAATTATTAATCACATTACAAATCACATTTTTTGTTTCTTTTACAGATGGTTGTTTTGAGATCAAGTACATGTATCTAGGACGAGTGTTATGTAACTGTCAGAGCCCCCAACTCAGGAAGGTATGAGCTAACATGTAAAGACATCTAACCAGAGACATATAATATTTCTGATCTAACAGACAGATGAGATTGCTTATGCATCTCAGTTTTTAATATATAATGCTGAGTGTCATATGAGTTCCAACTTCTGATCACATCTGAGTTGTGTGCAAGAGACAAAGGTAGAATTCAAATCTATTTTGATATTAATTTTTAACAGTTATACTTTGGCTAGCCTCTTTATTGAAGCTAATATTCATGTCTATATTTTGATATCTACTTAACCCAATGATCCAGAAGTTTCTTTGAAGATACAAGGCGTCTTATTTATGAAAATGTAAGTCAAAACATACATGTTTATCTTTTGATGTAATGCCACCACATAAGTATGAAATTTGGCCGTCTAATGCAATTACATATAACAGTCACTTATTATGACAAATATCAATATTATTTTAATGAATTTGATGATACTGCAGACAAAGTGCAGTTTTCATTGCCCCAAGTTGGTTTAATTGAGCATGTTGAAATATTGAAAATGTTGCCAAATGTGAAATATGGACAAATATACGAGTACATATACCAGCCTGCATGGAATTACCTCAAGGTGTCAATATATTAGTTTTAATAAGTTTCCCTAACTTGAAAAATAAATAGATTCAGTTGATCAGTTTCATCTTTTAGAGTTTGATAAGTATACCATTTAAAATTTGTTCAGTAAAAGTAATTACTATCTTTTCTATACAAGAAAAAATATTTCAATTTCAGGATTCTATAACATAAGGAATTTACCTCCGAGAAATCTTTTTAAAGAATATTTTTAAAGGTGTAATTCTGTATGTAGATTTGAAATATGATATTACTTCAACTTAATTTTGAATATCTAAAATGAAATAAACTTATTTTTTAACTCACATCTTTGCCTATTTCACATTTATGATGCAAACTTCATCAGTACACATACTCCATTAACTTACCAATAATGCATTTTTTTATAATTCAATATTTTCAAATGGTGTACTTACAGATTTTTAAGTAAAGGTGCTCCTTTTATTGTCTTTCTTGTAATTACTTTAAGTTTGTTGTAGCTAAGGTCCCTGAAAATACACAAAAAGAAGCATTTAAAATCATAAATCAGTTGTTGTTTCTACTTATTTTGTTTTCATTAATATACATGTAACTTTTGGAGGTACATGTAAGAATCTAACAATGGAAAAGATGACTTGAAACATTGGCTATACATGCAGGCCTTAAGATTGTTTTTAATACATTAACCATTTTATTAAATGGCATCAACAATGACATGTGCATTTTCCAAAATTCAAGGATCATTTTATGATTGATGAACAGTGGATGCATTCCTATGTACTTATGTCTGGTCTATTCCCCAGAAACAGTAGGGGGACATAAGCAGGTTGACCTGTATGTTGTTCATGGGAACTTTCAATTTAGCTTTTGTTATTCACCTCTTTCCACAACATCCGATTACTTTTATGAATGATGATGGGTCTGGTAGAGTAGTTCTCTTCAAATATTGTTTTTTAGACAGAAAACATATGCCTTGTTGTTCATGTTTAAGCATTTAGCTTCATTTCCTTTCTTTTGAAGAATGAACAACTTAAAAATTAAGTAGCTTATTTTATTGCATTGTGCCAAACCCACAGGTGGTCGCTAAAAGATATTTACAAAAAGTTCAAAAGATTTAGAAAAGGCTGAAATTTTGACACAGAACAGACGTTGGGTTGACAGAACATGTGACATCTAAAATAACATTTGACATCATAAAGCAGTCCATTTGTCCATACTAGATTGTTTTAATTTGACAAGCATAGGTACAAAATTGTAATTGATTGAGATCTATACACAGTTGTTAACAGATATTAAAAAAAAACTTTCAATCATATGAATAATCATTTCTGTATTTATAATTTAATATACAGTAATTTAAATCATACCATTTGTTTGTCCGCTCTCTTGTGGTATATTTTGCATCTTATTTCATTCCTCAGATTAATACACAAATGTTACCCTTGAAAAATGATGGAGATTTTGGAATGTTTTAAAAGTTTCAATGTTTATAGGTAGGTGGAGGTAAGTGATCTGGTCCATCTTAACAAATGTGCTCTAAATGGCCATTATAATGTCTATAATGACTGGAGTGATTAACTAGTCCAGACTTGGAGTATCTAATAAATTAGCAAGCTATGGATAAAATGTCAAAATGATTATGTTTCAAAATGCCAAATAAAGGAGAACAGAGTGGAATTACAAGCAATAATGAAGATAAGTGTCAGTTAATACCCTAAACTAGATAGAAATACAAGAAATATAGGAAAATCAGAAGCTTTATTGAAATTTTTGAGAGAAATGAGTTTCATTAAGCATGAGCAGAGAGAATTTTAAAAAGCCAACTAAGTCAAACTAAAGCTGGGCACCATCACAACAATGCAAAACTCAAAATTCCTTACCATAATAAAAAATATTGACAAGGTTTATACAATTTTCTTATAAGATATTGAGAAATTGAACAAAAAGCTTGTAAACAAACTGTAATACATCCTCCTAGAAATTATATCAAAAATATATGATTTGATCATTCAGATTTTATTTGGAAAGGAAAATTAGCACAGGGGGATTTAGTAGGAACCTTAAGAACAGAATTACAGATGCATTACATATCCTGCTCAGTTTATCACCCTAATTTACTTGACTTTTTGTTGGTGTTTGAAAAAAATAGTAAATCTCAGTCTATTCTTATCTTTCCAAGAAATATTTAAGCCAGGCCCCAAGCTCCATGCAGGAGGACATCTATTAAAGGCCAACACTTGATTATCATGTGTGTTTTGTCATTTGTGGCAGTCCTAATAGCTGAACGTAAAAATGATCTTTCTTATGATTTTCCTCATTGAAAATTCAAAAAGAGTTAAAAAGTTATATCATATTTGAGATATACATTATACATACCATTCAAAGTTACAAAAAATGGTTTTAAAGAAGATTGTTTATCACCTTTAAAATTTTAGTTTTGCTGGACATATTTTCAGTTGTATCATTATCAAATTGAAAGGTTGATTGAATATATATAATATATAGTTTAGAGGAACTTTTCCCTATAGCTGCCATGTTATTTGACCCAAATTAGCTCATTATAACTAACCACTGGTACCTTGGTAATATAGAATGACCCATTGTCTCCTTCAGGAAAAACATATCAGTCTCCTTTAACCTACATTATTTTTTCAGGCTTCCTGTTTTGAAGATCCACAAAGTGCAGATCAGTAACTGGTAGGTGTAATTTATTTGATTGAAACATTTTAAGAAATACTATTTTTTCAAAATGTTATGCATTCATATTTGCCCTCTGATGTTTTGTTTAAAGATGATCATCATATATTTGCCTCCTGCCAGCCACAGTTCACTAATTGAGATGTTTGAACAGACAGGCAACTTACAAATGACTGATGCATGTGTTACCTTGGATAAACAAATAGAACTAGAAGCAATTTTTTAAACAAAACATTTAGTTTCTTAACCAAGAATACAAGTACAACTACAACTACAATGTTAGCTAAGATGGAAAGCTGTTAATTATTGCAGTACATACAATTATTATTTTAAGTTCAGACAAGAATTTTGGTAAGGCAAACCAGTGCAATGACCTAATATCCACTTGCAGTTAAGGTAAAATTCAAATTCTATGACTAATATGATTTCCTTTATTTGGCTGTGACAAGAATTTCTCACACTTTTTAGAGTTGTGGTAGCTTTGATGAGAAATTAAATTATTTGATTCTATATATGATGACAAACATTTTCTTAACATAAATAAAATAGAATTCGATGATCGAGCTGCCTTTATTAAAAACCAAACTTCATAATTATTTATCTACATGTTTTTATAAAGTTATTTCGTGACCATTTCTAAACAAATATCACATTAGGATTTTGGTAGAAATAAATAATTTTAAGATATGCTGTATCAAAGTATATGAACACAAAACAGGTTAGTTGACTTTTGACAGTGATGTCTTCCAAATCCCTAAATCCTCAGTCATGTCATAACTCCCAATTGATACAGATCTCTGTCTCCGTTTCGTCCGTTTCATCTGACAATACAAAAACTCCTCATTTGTTTAGGATCAAAATCAGTATGAGTTTCATGTTATTGTGTGAGGTATGTATATGACTAACTAGATAACAGGGTGATAAAGCAGTTTCTGTCCTAAAGTTGACCATGTCAGGTCCGGGAAGACAGGGACCTGTGGTGGTAAGATAAATATGCCTTTCTGAAGTATCCTCATGCTCATGCTTATAACACCCAAATCTCCTAAAATTTGAAGAGTGTCTAATTTTATTGCGTTTCTGTATAAGCATTATTTCTGTATAGTGTTTGCCACTGGTTACTGTATACATTTAATTCTACTATTTTCAACTATATTTCATGTTTCAAAATATACCGCCCATGGTGTATTATTCAAGGGATTAAGATAATTTGTCAATGTTTCCACTCTGTAGTGTGGTCTGTGATGATACAGATACTGATGGTCTTACTAAATCTAACCCTATTTAACTTGTGACCACAGCAGTCTGGCGACCTTTTAAAAAAAAGAACTGCTAATATGATACTTTTACATAGAATCACAAGGTTCTCATTTGTTTTCCAGGGTAGAAAAATATATTTTTAGTAACAATGTTAGCAATCTGAAAGGGAGTAAGAAACACTGAAATTGAGATACTTGCTGATATACCACCCAAGTTTAGTTGTCACTTTTCAATAAGTATTCAAATCTCACATAATCTCAGTAAATAGCCATTGACAAATATTGCCCCTGTTTCTACCTTCAGTTTTCAAATGATGATTTATCTTATTTATCTGTAACTTTGATGTGTCTTTGCATGCTTCACTTTGACTTCTTTCAAAAGTGGACTTGCAGAGGCACTGATTTTATGTGTCTCCCTCCCTCAAAAAGTGAAAACCGTTGTTTATCATAATAACCCTAATGAAAATAAAGTCCTGGCCAAGCCTTGGACTGCAATAATTAGAGGACAAAATCATTGTCTTCCTCAGTATTGAAGGGGAATCTCAATACAAACTAGTCAAGTCTAATCAAGACAGAGATAATTCATCATCCCACCAAGCTTTACTCCATTCACAACTTGCCTCAGATGACATTAAAATCATTGATTTGGCCCAAATTTAATCTATCAATTTATTTGTTATGTCGAAGCTTAATCTGAAGATTCATGGCGAATAGTAGCAAAAATGAGGAAACTAGTTGAGTACGCGTATTAGTTGGATTTCATTCACTAGACTAGCATGAAGTATGTACATGTATAAAAATGTGATTGTCATTGGATAAGTGAAATTGTATTCCCAGATCATTATATCTCCTGTTCATTACTGCCTTTAATAAATCTAATAAAAAATCAAGCATAATTCTTACACTGAACATCAGTGTCGATCTGACAAAATTAATCTTAACACCCCAGTCACATTTCACACGGCCGCCGTGCGGTCTATCATTTCTGCGGCCAGTAGCTTTTCTACTCCCGCCGTAGAATTTCTGCGCTCTCATACTTTTGCAGTCACATTTCACACGGCAGCCGCATGGTGAATTTTAAATTTCTGTTGATAAATAATACTTTTTTTCATTTTATTTACACCAGGACAATTTATAAATGTTATTCATAGTGCTAGGATGTAATATCAAATGAAAAGTGATCGTGAAACATTGACAAATAATGATTCAATCTTGTTGAGCCAGTTGATTTCTACGGGGACCTCAGAAATGAACAAATATTATAACTCCGAGTTATAGTTTCTACGGCGACCCTGCGGCCTGTAAAAAACTGGATACGCCACACGGAGGCCGCAAGGCTAGCATAGTTTTTCTACGCTCGCCGCAGAAATTCACTGATTTAATTGATCTGCGGTCGACGCACAGCCTCCGTACGACAAATGTGACTGGGGTGTTAATTGTGATTAATTCTATTTTACAAATTTGATGTGTTGATACTTGGTTGATAGGTGGAAAATGGAAGTTATTTTTTCAAGTATAATCAATTGTTTCTTTATCTTGCATGAGCCCCTCGCCCT